ACAACAATTTAAATCGAAGCGATAAATATCTGGGAAATTTCCATGTGACCCAATAATTCAACCAAAATCAACGCAGCTACCCCCCACAATACCGGCGTTCTTTCGAATTGTAAATCAAACCGAAACCGATAAGTTGAAAAAGAAGCGACTGCGAATCGTATATCTTGTCAGTGATACATGGCACCAAATTATACCTACGACGTACGATGGAAAATTAAATTCGTTCATTCTTTGAGAGATGTTTCCTGGATTCAAAGAGTAACGCGTATCAAATTATTTATTGGTATAAGATAAATCTTTGAATTTCGGTTATAGTAAGGAAATTTTTAGAATGTAGTAAATTTATTAAATTCAGATTATTATTAGTAAATCTTTTTCAAACATGTATTAATGTTTCTTTTGTATTGCACAAATTTATTTGAGATATATTTGAAGATATAAGTCAAATACTCAAAAATAGGATCGACAACGTTTATGTATCTCTCGATCTCGTGTTCGAATCAAGTCTGAGATGGTAGAAATGTGCGAACCTGAGGCGATTCCGCGGAATTACTCGGGATTAAAACCCCATTTCAAGATTCCATCGATGGGAAATACCTTGGATATTTCCGTGGTATCTAGCACGTTCAACGTTAATATTGCTAATTTCGTTTTCCCTCGGTGTTCCTTCGCGATATAACGCCGGCTTACTCGATAGTATTTATTTAAAGCTTCTGTTAAAACCGATATCTCATTTTTATGTTTGTCAATACCAAGAACCCTTATCATCGACATTTTAAAACGAACCTTTAATCAAACATTTTTAAATTAATTGTATGCAGCGTTTGAGGCACATTATGAAGTTTTACTCGATCCGTTTTGAAATAATCCATTTACCTACAACATTATTATAACAACTGCCTTCGAACATTACATTTATCAGCTAATGCGATAAACTAATAAATAATGTTATCAGTGTCGATGAAAATCTGTCTCATTTCTCTTGAACCAGTTTAATGATAATTATCATCGTGTTATCCTTAATTGGATAATTTATTAATTATAAATACCTGGAAGCTATTTTGTCTGCATTGGAGCCTGTATCAAAATATTTCCCTACATTTATTTCAATTAGTTTACTTTGTTGAATGTGTAATTACTTTTAACGTCACACCATTTTTTAGAAGAAGATCTAACAAATTTCCAAATATATTGCAAAAATCCTTTAAACTATAATTCTAAAATATTCTATACTGTTAACGAAGCCTTTTGCTTTTATGCTTCTGTGGGTTTCAAGAATTCCTCTCTGTTAAGGGTAAAATGACCGTTCCATTTTGTAGTTTCGCTTCTTTCCGTTGGCTCGTTTTACACGTTCATTCCTACGGTTACTGTTCCTTTTTACGTTTTCTCAAAAATTACCCAAGAAACTATTTCGCCCGAACAACTTCTGCTGAGAATCTTCTAAACGTTGATTTTGGAACCACATCTCAGATCCATAAATTTATTATTAACCACCTCGTACAATTTACTCCTTTAGGAAAATGGAGAATTGCCTGAACTCAGAATTAGTGTGGACGGTTTGTATATCATCAGAGACCTCTGTACTACAAAAATGCATAAAATTTAAAGTCGACCAGTTGAAGGGATTGCAGCAATAAAGATGCAGTTCCATTTTCCACTCCCCTGGTAAGCTTCTGACGAAACGTTCCTCCTTCCCTTTCTTTTCGTCCACAATCCGCCATAGATTAAACAACAGAAAAGAAACAGCAACACGCAACCGGCTGCAGCAAGTTGAACATCATTATGCAAAGTTCATTAAAAGCAATTTCCCAGCCTGGCGAAATTCCATCGTAAAAGCGTCGGTTCTACCACGAGGTGGAGCGGTAACCTCCTCGCCACGGCGTTAAAACTTATCCAACTTCGTCCTCTCTTCTATTGCCGTCCTTTCTTCTCTTCAGCCTCCAATCTTGGTCCTGGCTAGGGTTAAAAAGTTCCAACATCTTTATCCATCCAGCAACCGTGCTCTTCTGTTTTGCTTCCTCTTCCGCCTCATTTTTTCTTCTCGGTTCATCTAATCTTCTTGCGTTCCATCGCCTCTTTTCGATCGTCTTTCTTAGCCGGCGCTTTCCATCGTTTCGCTCAACCACTTTGACGTGTTATTTAACCGAACTCGTCGACAAGACCGGAATGAATCAGGAGGGAACGTTTAATTAAGGTTGCGAAGAAACTGGGGCAAAGTGGATCGTTGTCTATGACAGCTTTTAGTTGATTGAACGGTGATTTGATTTTCAACCAGTTGGCGATTAACATGGTCATTGGTAAAATAAAAAAGGTCAATAATAACGAAAAAAGAAACTTTTCAAATATTGTATTCATTTATCGTGTTATCATTGATTAATGGTAATGTGAATTTAATTAGGTAATTTCTTGTATGAAATTGTTAGTAGATATCTGCAACGTGCTAGTTCAGAATACAATATTCACAGGGGTATTATCGTATGTTCATTATCACCGTCTTGATAAGGATGATGTCCTACGTGATTAGAACAAAGTTCTTGCAATTATGATTATCATAATTACTCCCGCCTCTGATGGATACCAGATCGTCGTAAAGGGAGAGTTTCTAATATAAACGATAATAGAGTTAAAATTTCTTTTTATTAATCACACTGATTCAAGATAACGAGTATTGATAAATTTATTTTGATAGCATATCTGTTGATTAAATCTAATGAAATTCTTTGGCTTAAACTGTATTTAATTAATGTCTGCATGATTATATTTGATCAGTGTACGAATGATAAACGATCATTAATATCTGAATTGATCAAATTATGGTTAATTAATTAAACCACTTACAGAAATGTAATTTGAATATAATATGAAAATGATACATGATAATTCAAGAACATTTAGAGGAAGGCACTTGTATACGATATTAATTTATCAATTAATTAAACTGATCGCTTAATTAAAAATCTTTAAAAATTTCAAAATCTTCTATTTTATATTGAACGAAAACCATTCTTAAAAATTAAAAGATTCTGTTTATTCTATTTCAATATAATATCACACCATCTTTTCATTGAACTTATAAAAGAAACTCGCGTTCCAATAGGGTGACATGAAAAGAGGAAACGTTAAAGGTTGAAGTTCGTTTTGAAAGCATCCAAATAAAAAGGCAAGCATTCGATCGAGCCGGATGAAGTAAATACGTGTTAACCGAACCGCAAGTTTTATTCAAATAGTAGGAGACACGTGGCCGGGTAAGAAACCGTTTCGTGACTCGAATCGTCCATATTTCGAAGCCAGGAGCTTTGTAATCTCTGAAAGGTTCTCGAGATGGGAAGCAACTCGGAAAACGAAAGAACACGTACCCGTAGCTCGTTACACACGCGGAATACGTGACACACTCTACTGTGTTCTCGATTTAGACGAGCACTGATTTCGCTGCGTCGCTAAAAGCTGGCACAGATAATGGCCACGGTGGCGCGGTCTGCGAATTTCTTGTCCGTTTCACCGACCACCGGCGACTAAGCGATTGCTGATGGCGAAAAAGTTGATTTTCGCTGGGACTTGCGAACTAAGGGAACTGTAAGTTACTCGATTATTGTCGTTTCTTAACTACGGTTCCATGCTCGAACAGTGTTGACGTTCGCATTACCCACGTAAATCTACCTAATCGATTTTTTACTCGACCAAAGAACACAAATTGATTCAAAGATTTTATACTCCATCGCAAATAAAAATTAAAATAATGGTGCGCTAAGAACATTAAAATTCGGAATGTTCTTAATACGAAATTGTTAAAGCAGGAAGAATACATATTTTCGTCGCGTTAAATACGATTCGCGTTTCATTTAAAACAGATTAACTTCTTAGCGGCGTCACTTAACTCCCTAATTAGCAACTGTATTTTCCGTGCTGTCGAGCAAAACAGTGGCCGGGTAACGGGTATATTTTAAAAGCAGATACCGTGACAATTTGAAGCTGTGTTTGTTGCGATGCTGAAAATATGCGGCTTTGTATGGTGGTCGGTAGGAATCGCGCGTTGGTTTGGAAACAGGCATTCCGCTTTGAAATATCAGCCTCGTTCTAGATCATTTTGAAGCACCGTTAGAGAAGTTAAGCTCTGTGGCGAATACGTGTGTGGTTTTATAACGAGTCAGGTGTCTATGATAAAGCATTTCGCGCGTATTTTCTAATTTACAATATTGCGTATTTGGAATAAATATAAAATCATTCCGTACGATAGTACTTTTAAATTATTTACAGTTCGGTGAATATAAATGTTTCTACTATTATTATAAATGTTTTAGATATTGTAGATATTCCGGAATTACTTGAAAACCATTTTCAATTTCGCAAAACGAGAAGAACATTGCGGGCCGTCGATTCTTTGTTTCGTTCAACGGATTCTCCATGCGACGGTGCTTAATTATACTTTAATTAAAATCCAACGTACGCCACCCGTGGGAAAGTTTCCGAAGTTAATCCTCGCAGAGTTGGCGATACTTTCATATTAGCAGAGCAGCCGGCCGCTGAAATAAAAGAAGTTAATTACATTATGGCACCGACGTACCGCGTCCCGACATTTCTCCACCCCCCTTGTTTTAACCACCCTAGCGAACGTTCCACAATCTTCTGATAACGAACGTTCTTTTTATTGGTTATCGAATAAACTCGATAACACGTGAAAAACGATTTATCTGATGATATTTGGAGATTGGTCCTTCAACCACTTAAATTTTATAGTTCATCACTGAAAGTGCACTTCATGGTGGCAGATATTTTTATCCTTTCCTATATAGGGTGTTTTTAGTAATTGGGACAAAATATGTGTTTAAAATGATTAAAAATAAGAGAACATTAACTAATATAAATAAATATTATTTATTTTTTTATTATATACATTTATTATGTAAAATAATGGCCACACTATCGACGGGAGATTAAACTAATACCTACCGTTGAGACACGAATGAACTGAAACTATCATGATATCCGGTCGTGTGTTTCAGATGGCAACAATGTCGAGGCAGCGGTACGTGAACCGCAGCAGCGAGAACAGATAAGGAAGGGAGGAGCCACGAATCGGGCAATCATGCGTAGTGTCATGTGGCTCCTTCGGCTCCTAACGACTTGCTGCCTCGTTTACCTATCAGCATCCGACTCCCATACAGGTATGTGCATTCTTTCCATTGCCCTATCATATACATATAATAATATTGTTTCCGAAAATTGAAAATGTCGTGACTTTTAACTTTCCAAGTGTTGCACTACATTCACCAGCTTCCGAAACTGAAACTGATCTTGAAAAAGTTTGAAACTTGCTCAACCTTATCTACTTAATTGATAATATAAATTATTTTAACCCTTGAACGATGGAACGTTGAGATATGCAAAAATTTTAATTTAATTTCAGATTTCCATAAGTTCATAATTAAAAAAGAAAAAAGTTTTTTTATTAAAATATATCGTATCGTTATGTAAACGTGACTGATGGAAACTTTGGCATATCTTAATGTAATAACTGTAATCTTTTATCGGTCATAAATTATTCCTTTATCGTACCTACATAATTTAAGGTTGCCTAAGACTGACAGGATTATGAATGAAATCATCGTTCCATCGATGACATAATTGGAATACATCACGCAGAAGCATAGCGAAATGATGAAAGAAGGTTTGGCTAATCGAAATCAATTGCAGAGATCAAAGATCCCCTATTGGCTTTACATTTCGATCGACAATCGGGTAATGGTAGAACGCGTTTATTCTCTCATTAATCAGGGTTGAACGACGTGAATCACCCATAGAGGATCGTATCGAGAGTATCGAATCGCGACAGGGGCTGTTTAAGTACCCAGAAGCCGAGATATGCTAGGATCAGCCATAATGACCCTATCGATACACCAGATTTTGATGGATAATCTTTGTTTCATGGCTATTGTGTCATGACTTGGAAAACAAATTACACCGGTTTTATAAAAGTTCGATATCAAATTAATTTGATAGCAAATGAAGATCTCATACCCAGCAAAATTTCGATGGTCAAACGTTTAACTAATGAATTAAAAACAACACCAAAGCGTATATATGAAAGTTGAATTTAAGCTTCAATCAATTCTGGTTATTTACACAAATGTAACGCGACACCACGCGAGCAAGTCTCCATTAAATGAACCCACGGAATTAGTTTCCATGAAATTTAGATTGCACAGGGTGAGACTGGGTGCTGCAGATAGAGAGGGAGGGGAAAGAGTTATAAATTTGGGACAACGCGACTATGTAAATTTGACAGCGCAAATGGTAAATGCGTCCGTTCTCCTTCTTATTACCTGTGTAATTAGAATACGAGTGCAGATGTCGCGTTCAAATTGATTTACACTCGCTGATCTAAAATTTAAAGCTTCTTACGAGTACACGAGGACCCCAGACAAACTCAATTTCAATGCTTCAAGTTTCTTATAGTATTTTTTAAATATTTAAACTCTTTCAAAAGTCATTTAAATTAATTTTAATCTGCTGATGAAATTTTTAAAATGCTAGTAATACTGAAACAGAGATAATTGCACTTAAAATTATAATATTTAACATGTACTGTATAGGACAAGTGTCTGCTTGAAGTTATTAAATAATTACTCCGAAAGTTGAAATATATTTAAGAAGTTAAGTTTTCAAAAGGATACGACAAGATTAAATTGAACTTCCGTTCGTACATTTTGTCCTGAAATTCAAGAATTATTGACTTTCATACGGTTATAATAGCTAAATTTATGTTTCAGAGGTTCATTAGGAAACTTTACTAATAACTCATTCTAACGGAAGCGTTAATCGGAAAATTAGTTTCTCTGAAATTTCAAATTTCTGATAATTTTCAATTCTACAATATTGCAATATGTTAATCCGTGAATTTATTAGACATGAAATTAAAATAATTATCATTATTGCACGAATTAAGTAGGAAAAAATTTTAATCATTTTATTTCTAACACTTCTTTCGACATTTAAACTTTTCTAAAACCTTACAGAATATTTATTTGTTTACTCGAACCAGGTCACTGTAATTATTTTTATTTAAAGACACAAGTCTATTTTAAAAGGTTCACAGTGAAACAGTTTTTAATGTCAGAGTGGGAAATGTTTCAAACGCAAGGAACAATGGCGAGCAAGGAAAATAGAGGCATTTTTTAAGCTGTCGAAGGAGTGAACAATTTAACCAGAAAAATAATGGTCGAAAACCGCTTTGCTATCGACAGTCTGTAACGTTATCGCGTAGCACGACACGGTCTGCGGTAAAAATCCGCCTCGCGTGGACCCAGAATTTTATAGATAGACCCCATGGTTCATCCGGGCCGATTTAATTTACCAAACTCTGCTGGTCTTTGTGGGAAGATCAATCCATTAAGCGTGTTAGAGGATTACTTGCCACAAAATTTAAAACGTTATGCGATATACGAAAGCTCGAGAGAACCTGACTTTATATAAAAATTTCCAAATCAAATTCTCTCGGATTTATGAATCATTGTTTAACCCTTTGATGTTTGCACATTTCGTAGACCGTGATTCTTAAAATTTTAAGCTCGTTTTCATTGTGTCTAATAAGAGTTTACTGAATGAATTATTATTTCACAGCGTTCTAACGAGGATACGCTTGTTCTTATTGTTCCATTCGTATAAAAGGCAAGAACGAGCTTAACCTATAATCGCGATTCAGATATCCGTGTGACGGAGTTTATTCGCGTAATTAATTTCAATCGTGCAACGATATGTTGAGCAACGACCGCAGATGGAACTTCAGCTGAAGGGTTTCCACTTGTAGATTATCTCTGGCTCGTAAATCATTTCGCTGGATCCATCTATCTTCGAGCGTGTCTTCAACATGCATCCATCTACCCATCCTATTTTTCAGAATGCACATTTCCCGCGTTTGTTTGCGCCCAAAGCTTACATCCGACCGGAAAAACGCACGCGTTCGTCCGTTTCGCTTCACTTGAACGCTTTAAATCCCAAGCTCGATCGTTTGTTGAAAGCTACTTTAACGGACTTTTGACAAATCACCGTAAATAGAATTTATAGATGTCAAATGTTAATAGAATAAAACCTTAGTGTTTCAAATTTTAAAATGAGGGAAAATGATACTATAAAAATTTTCATCAACAATTCAAAACCTTTATTGATTATTCGAATTTTTTCGTGAGTGACAATTCGCATCGTTCAAAATGCATATGAAATACGATGAAAAAGAGTATTTGATGGAAAAGCACCGAAGACGACGCCATTACTCGTCAAAAGCAGCTGCTTCTTGACGCCGGGAGGTCACGTTTCGAGCACGAAAAAGCGAACTTATTTCCGTTCGGCCGATTTGAACGTCGACGAATCGGAAACGCATTCCGAATTCGTCGTCAAAGTGGATGATCCCGGTGTCTCTCATTCCCGAGCTAGCACGGAAACCGTTCAGGACAAAAGAGTGAAGAGTTTACACGTGTCTTCCTTCTGTCGCCGAATGGAAGAAGATTCTAACGCGTTCTGACAGTCACGTTTCCGGTTCTCTGAAGGCTGGCAACTATCTCTACGTTTACCTGATTTCGCTTCGTTCGACTGGAAAACGCGATCTGAATTCGACCACCGTCAGTGACGACTCGTTATCCTGTTATTTTGCTGACGACGGATCTTTTGAAAAATCATTTAAATTGTCGAAAAAGGTACAACATAATCAGACTTATTTGAAAATGAAATAATTTTATTATTAAATATCTGCAAAAATCTGCTTCATTTTAAGGCAATAAATTTTTCAATAATTTTATTTATGACATTCGTTTATGATGTAACGAGTGTATCATTCTGAAAACGAGACACCCTGGCGGTATCCGCAATGCGGTTCTACAAGCGACGTCGGCGAGCCGCGTGTTTCAGTTTACAAGCAGCGAGCAGGAATAGAATTTCAAAAATTCCTAGCTTTTTGCCAGGCGAATAGCGAATCCGTTCAAACGTTGGAAAGCTCGTAATTTTGTAAAATTTTGCATTCGTTGGCGAAGGTATACCATTCGAAGCATCTGAAGCGTGTTTAAGGGATGAACTCCTTTCGACTTGAAGGATTTTCGCGCCGCGATGGCAAGAGTTTCTCTTGTAAGTGTGCAAATGAAAGGAGAAGTCGAAATTCTGTGGACATAGACCGTGAAAGAACTAGATAGACTCCCTACTAATTATTACATTAATTTCAGGCAAGAAAATATTCTTCATTGAAAAGAACGTCTCTCGTTAATTTCCTTTTCAAACGGTGAATCCCGAGAGGGTGTTTAAAAATTGTTTCAACAGATTCTCGTTTAAACGACGTCTTTCGTACGGACGATTCGTTTGCCGTAGGAATCTTCAGTTTGAATAATCGAGAGATAAAATGCAGTCTACTCGGTTTTAAATTTTCGTTATGTACTTTCGTACTCGCGCAGCCAACTAGCGCGGACCCGTGGAAAAAGATAACGCTCGAGAAAGTTGGTAAATGAGAAATTATTACGAGCTGGCGAGCTACAATTCCAACCCAGCGAAAGAATGCGAAAAGTTTAAGATTTATGAAAAAGAAGAATCACTGGATGAAGTTGCTTCCTGTATTTCGAAATAAATTGATGATTTTTTCAAATTGTTTCCTCTTCAGTCCAGCGTTCAGTGTAGAAAACTTGAAAGGATAAAAATTTTTCGAAAAGTGATTGAATACAATTATTTTATTTCTTATGATATTAAACACATATTTTTGTCACATATTATTTAAAAATAACGAAGATCTTTTAGAGGAACCTAAATAGTATAAAGGGATACAATGTGCAACGACTTAATTACAGAGTATTTGCAATTAGGTGTTAATAAACAGGTGCTTCTAAATAGGTTCATCGGTTTCTAGGAGATACGTGGATCTGATTCCATGAAACTAAATACAAATGATAGTCAGAGTACGGGTTGACGGTGATGATACTGGATACGTATCGGATAGTGGAGGAGTCTAATTTGCAAGACTAGATACCGTATCTATGAGATTTGATATCAAGAACTTGGTCTTTGAATCCTGCTCTAAGTAAGTTTAGACATCTGTAGCTTGATACAAATGTGTCTTTATTCATGAAAGTAGATATAATTTACATTTGTGAAACTTTAGAGATTTTCCAATCTAATTTAAATTAAATTTTCTCCAAAACTAAACTTCTTACATAAGAAATTGTATTTATATTTAAAATTTATTTTTAGTTGCAAAATCGTGTCACGTAGGATTCAGGTTTATTTGTATTTCTTATTAAGCGAAAATCAGGAATTTTATTAGGTCGATCGATGATTTTTGACAAGTACCCGGAAACAGAATACGGTGCATGTTCGACGATTTACCGGTTGATTTATTTTCGGATACACGCTACGGTTCTCAATTAAACGGAATCGATATGTTCGATACTTTGGGGCCACGCCAGAACTGCAAGCGGCTTATGAGCATCGTTCGCGTGTACGTAACAGAAGCGTGAAATGCCTGTTTCGAGGCGTGACGAGTTGACAGATAATTTGACAGTGGTAATATGTCGGATTGATTGGGTCGAAATTAACCATTGTCGACTGGATTGTTCCTAATCATTCGAATGAAAAACGTATCTCGCGCTACAATCTATCTTGATCCGATATTACATACCGACAAATAACACTCTGTATATTAGCTTCCTACATTTTCTTTCGCATAATAAGTATACATGTATTTTCTCCGCCACTCGTACATCACCGTGTTGAACATCATCGCTCTGCACGTGTCGGCTGTACGAGAATCCACGGATGGATGTCGGTCCCGGGGGTTTTGTTCGACGAGCAGAGGCTGTTTCTGCTTTGCAAGACAAATTTGTTAAATTGATCCGCTGGAAACCGGCATCCTATCTAAGTTTCAAGCCCCCTTCCCCTTCCTTGTCTGTCGTCTTTCGCCGGCTACGATTCCGTTCCACGGGATCGACTGTTTCGCCGTGAATGCGTTGCGAATGCCATGGGATTCGAAGTTTGCCAGAGGAGCGCTTTTGGCGAGTCGAGGCTGCTGCTTGCCAGCTGGGATGTCGTCAGGTTCGCGGAAAATCGTTGGAACTCGACGGAAGCTGGAATCTTGCGGTGGAGATGGAAAGTTAGGAGTTGTTTGCGAGGGGAGTAGAATGTCACGGTTTCGTCTTTGCAATATCCCGCGTTCCGATAATTAATCCTTAAATAGCACTGATTGAAAATAAAAAATTTGAAAAGTCTTTTGGTGGAAAGACGTCCATCGTCGTTATTGGACGTTCTATAACGCTGCTCGTAGAGCTGTGGAACAGGTTGAGTACACGAAGTGGACAACGCGTCGACCCATATCGAGGTGGACGTCGAACGAAGGACACGGCCGATACACGGTAAGTGGCGGCAGGATCTGTGATTCCAGCAGAAGGTACAACGACGTGTAACGCGTGGCGGTTTGCGAGCTTGGCCTATGCATAAAACATGAGCCCGACCCGCTGGACTGTGCCTCGAATCGGAATTATTTACCCTGGTTAGCCGGACTCGCCGAAATTACGGTGGAGCCGTGTTCGACGATGAAATCGAGGAAACGTGCCGCATCGTCGCGCACCCTCGATACTGTTATCCAGTAAGGTAGTCAAGGGTCTCGGTATTTTCATATACGTTTAGTGAAACTTCATTTCAGAAGTCGAAGCGCAAGTGTCTTGTCTTCGTCCTTCCCGAAAAAGCCGTAGACGTTACTGAAACTTCGTTTTTCCACCCTGATGCAGAATAATGCACACGGCACAATTCCGAGGAAAAGCGCCAACTCAGATGTCTCGAGTGTTTGCAAGACTCGAAAAAATGGGTCGATTGAAGCTCGCGAGATCTCGGATCTGACGAGGATAGCTACGCTGATTGTGCTCTCGGTCGAATAGAGAAAAAAAATATCCATGAGATAGCCTAGGAGTGATTGCCCGATAAATCTGAACGATTCGATCGAAAAAAAATGGGTAAAAAACAAGTATTAGATTGGAAACTAAATTCGCAACCATTCCGAGTATTCAGCTTCGAAATCGATCGTATTAGGTACTTAGCAGGATTCCAGAAAAAAATCTAAAAAATTTTATTTTTAATTAAATTTTAAAAACTTTCACACGTGTACAATTCGCATAGCTTTAATGTATTGTCTGCATATTTGCTGCATATTTGGATGCATTTTAGCTGAATCAATATTCGACAGTCTAATAATAACATTGCTAAAATTCCAATTTATACTACCCATTCCATCACACCCAGTACAACGCCGTATTCAATCGTTCGCTGACGTGTAAATCTACAAACTCGCACGAACCCGTGGAAAATCGTAGGTCTGAAGAGAAACGTTTTCGTCGATCAGTTTCGCAAAGGCAGCCTCGCGTGACAATCACGACGTGTTTGGACGAAAAATTTAAAAGGATAGACGGTCGGATTTAGGAATTTTTCAGGAATCGTTTCCAACAGTCGTTTAAACATTCAACGTGGAAATCGAGAAAGAGAGGAAAGAAAGGCTCTCGAGCAGTAATGTCAATACGATGTATAAGGGTTTTCATATTCGGCGAACAAAGATGCCGTAGCCCCCCTGTTTGGTAACCGGGACACGCGTTCGACGGTTCCGCTGGAATTCACGATCAGTTTTCTTCCCTTCGGGCAGAAAGAAAATTTCCACGACCGAAGGAAAAAGAAAAGATCGACTGAAGAGTGAATAGATGAAGTAGATGGGTGTAACTTGGTTCGATGGAGGGTTCTGCTATGGGGAAAATATTGGTCGGATAAATAATGTTAAAAACCAAAATCAGAGCTTACGATATTTAAGAACATTTTAATATTTATGAGAATCCTTTTAATTTTTAATTTTTATTCACACAAAACGATATGGTTTTATCAATCGATCCAATACGTTGTTCCAACTTAAAGATATCAAATCGCAATTACTCTCGCGCTACTCTGTGTATTCATTTAATGATTACAAACCTGAATGGACGGACATTGTAACCAGCGAACACGGATACCGATATATATTGGCAGCTGTCAATTGTCTGTCCGATAGTTGTAAACAAGAGGGAAGGTAAATCTCTGGGGACGGTGACTATTGGGACAAGACGTCTGTTGTATCCGCACAATCTATTTAAATGTAACCGATTGATAAATCATATAAAAATTTTAGCACATTTAGTATAATATTGAGTCTATCTAAAAATAATTGAATCTTTGTTCTTTTGTTTCAGATCTACCCTTAATAACGGATTCAGTATCAACGAAATCGACGACGGCGGCAAAGCGATCGGTACCGACGGACGCCCCCATGCTGAATTACATATTTGATGCGCACAGCACTTTGAACAAGCATCAACATTATCACGATCATCGGTGGGGACCTCATTTCGAAGGGGAGAGCAAGAATATGACTGTTCAAGCTGGTGGCAACGCCTTGTTGGACTGCAAGATATCGATGCTGCTGGATAAAACTGTAAGTTTTATTTTTATTTTAAAAAATAATCTCTTTATCGCAATTTTTTAAAATTAATTTAAAATCATACGATATAAACTAAGATAATTATGTTATCGCACTAAATGGGAAGAAAGTTGAGCGTCTATAAACGTCATTAGCGATCAAAGTGGCCGTGATCTTTTCAGTGGAAAATTTGCAACGGACTACCTTGAAACGGCGAAATGACGGGGCAACTTCGTCGAAACTCGTCCGGCAAGAGTAGTTGTATCCTGAAAACGTTGCACTCCGTTGAACCCTGGGTCGAGCTCGACTCAACATAATATTAGGCTATTAATGTCGTTACTGTTGCTATTAGTGTTAACGACGGTGTCGGCTAACGCGATTATCCATGCATGATTATCTTGAAAGTGCATAACTCGGCTAAGAGCGATATTTATTACCAGGCATTATTTGAGGGCACAATGGACAAACAGCGTGTAAGTTTATGATCTCGTGAACGTACCGGGTCATCGATGAAGATCGTCGACACGTGACGATGCAAAAGATTTTATCAAATTTAGAGCTTACGTTATTTTTAATTGTAATTTTCGATTTGTACGTTTAAAAATATTGAGAGGACTCTAGGGAATTACGATGAATTCCAAAAAACTAATTTACAGTCGTCTCTCTGATATAGAAAATTCAACAAACTTGTTCTCTTTGGTGCCGAGTAATTTAATTTCTGTTGTAGACACATTTTACCTTTCCCTGCTGCGTGAAATTAATTCCTAACAAATACGGTGCAATGTCGTTTAATATCTTGGTGAAGATAGAAAATTAAAATAAATCACTTTTACAAATTTTTCTTCTCCATAACACAAACATGTTTCACGCTTTGCCATCCTATCAAATTAATTCCCTCAAATACGGTGTGATATATTTTAATACCAGTAAAAGCAGAAAATCCTGCAATTTTTCAAGTGAAAATATGTTTAAAAACGTTTGTTGGCCGAAACATTTCAAATTTCCTCGCCTTATAAAATATTTTGCATTTGTTTTTCTACCATTAATTGCAATGTGGGGTAAAAAAGGAGAAATTAACGTATAGAGAAAAATACATTTATGTCAGTCAAGAATACTTAACCCAATCCAAAAAGTTTCAATAATTATTATCCATGAAGAATATAAGAAAACTTTTACGACTGCTGAAAAAATCTCAACAACAATCAAGGATCCTATTTACTACCAATTAAAAGTAAAAAAATAAAATAAATTAATAACTTATCAAAAAACTATTCACTTTTTCAATTCACTTCGAGCAAAATTGATTCCACGAATAACTTTTATAAAGTAATCCCTATCGATAACAAGATCCATCGAGTTTTAAAGCACTAATTAACCTCGTAAGACAAGATAAAATATTCTTTTCAAAAAATTCCATTGATATTGGAATAAAGTCTGTCGGATAGAAAGCGGACGGAAGCAATCGATCACGATCGAGAACTATTGCTCGCATCATTGATAACTGTCCGTATGCGGCAATCTCTGTTCAACGGATAATGGCATGTTGGATATCTATGTCGAAGATGTATGATATCGCACGCACTTAATGGGAACGTTGGGAAACACTATCCAATTCCAGTTACGTGGATAAACTGCGGGTTTCGGCTCCTTGTTTATCGCTAACCAATCGGATACCCGATTCACCGTCAGTTCTCACATAACGAGCAATCAGACAATGCGTTTTCCACGGTCTTCTATACCACCATAGGGAGTTCCTGTTGTTTCCAATGGAAGATAAACATAATTCGAGGATACATGCTCGGTCAATTGCTATTATCATCCAAAGTATACAAGATTCGATCAAATATAAATTGATATTTTTCAAATCAAATTTTACCAAATCATTCCGTAAGCGATTTTCTCGACCATTTTATATTAAATGTATCGGATATAATAATTTGTCGACAGATATCCTGGGTGAGGCGGCAGGATAACGGTGAAAAGCTGAATCTGCTGACGGTGGGTCACCGCACATACGTGGGTGATCCAAGGTATAAAGTGAAGTTTCAGTACCCAGACAACTGGCGTCTACTGATCGAACGTGTAAACAGTAGCGATGAGGGCCAGTATCAGTGTCAGGTCAGCACTCATCCGCCCAAATACATTCACGTGAATCTCCACATAAATGGTGAGTACTTTCAAAATTCATTTGCACGAAAATCTCATTTTAGTACTTAAAAGTATGATCTGAGTAAAATAATAAGGTAAATGAGAACATTCTAATGAAAGGATTCGTGGGTGTAATTTGTACAGAAATCTTTGAAATAATTTGGACTCGAAAGAAACTATTTGAACTAGATTTAAATCTTAATTAGAATTAATGTCACTTCTAATTAAGGAAATAGTATGAGCGAACCCTGTCGAAGACCCAAACGAATTGTTTTCCCCCCTGATTAGTATGGCATCCTTTAAGTCCAGAAACAAGTAATTTTAATAATTGAAATTACCAATGGAACAACGAAGGCAGATTCGAGTACCTAAATTGAGTTTTGCTGTTGCTATCAGTGCAGAAATTCCAAGCTTGAGAAACTGGCACGAAGAAACTACTGCGAGAGCGTCTTCGATTCGATCGCTCTATTCACCAGCTGTTGAATGAAACTAATCATTCTATTACCGACCACTGAATCGAACTAATCGTTGGACCGTTAGTTTTTGAATAGGACTAATCAATGAATTGAAATTGTTGAAACGGTGTTGAAAATGATTATTTGCTAAATTGGCCAAGTGATATTCGTCGCATCTTAACAGTATCTATCAAAAGATTTAGTGCGAAATTCTCTAATTTTTCGCGCTGAAAATTAACACTTGAGATCTAAAGCAGTGAGGCAAAGCACATCCGTTTACCCGCGGGTGAAACACGTAAACCGGATGCAAATTAAAGGGAGGTGAGAGGTGTACGCCTCTCTCCGGGCTAAGATTTTCCCCCCGATGACGTCGAGGGAATCGTTTAAATCGAGCAACGAGAGGAACAGAGTGGCGTGGAACAAGCGGCGGGAAACAACGAGGAACGGGAAAGGAGTACTCAGATATTCAGCGTGAGCTCCGGGAAATTGGCTACGTTCCTGGTACTTTTGTGAACTACGGTGACACAGGGCATTCGCATTGGGAATCCGTCGAGGGGGATGAAGGTGAAATGAAGCTAACACGGTTGAAACGGGTAAGCGTGAAGGAAAGTTGATTTCGAGGGTTGATTTCACGCCGTGCAGTACCTATTCACGAGATCGAGCAGACTCGAACGTGTTTACGGTTATTGTTCTGGCTCTCAAATATTATTTGAAAAATGTAAATCTGAATTTACCATCTATTTCGGAGCTAACACTGATCTAATGCCCTTATTTCGACCCTTTTCTGAAAGAAGGTAACCCTCGCTTGTCATACTTATTTCTGTACCACGTTAGGGCTCGTTGAATCCCGATGAATTTTTATTTTATTTTAGCGAAGATTCAAGGGGGTGTCTTATAATTTTATCTGACAATGTATTCGGATAAAAATTCTTTCTCGAAACGGATAAGTAACAAAATGGCGGTCGTAGGGTTGGAAGAAAGTAGGATAAGGAAAGGTGAGAAGATCTGAAATCGAAGCATCTCGCCAGCGATCGGATAAATTGGCTTCGTTGGCCAAGTTTTTGCGGCGGCGATCGTTTAGGAGGATAATTGAAGGTGAAGTGGCATAGTTGGAGCGAATGGTGAACCGAACCGTTTGAAAGGAACAGCATGGAGGAGCAGAAGAACTTCGTTTCGCTGCATCGAGACAGGGGGTATCGCTGGAATTAGACGTTTGTTGGAACGACAGGAGAGGAAGATAAAGAGAAAGAAAGAAGGAAAGTGAAAGTGGTACTTAGAGGTAGACAGGAAAATGAACGGCGAGCTCAGAAAATGTAAAGCCACGGTAGGAACTTCATAAATGGAAGGAAAAAAGGATGGTCGAAACGAGAAACTCCGTAATAAAGGTAAAAAAGAAAATCGTGAAAAGAAAATCTTCCTTTGCCGACGTTGTTTCTGAAAATAAAGAAAAAAAAAAAAAACAAAAACAAAATAATAACGTAGACGGTATCATTGTCGTAAATAGGAAGCAAGCTTATGAAAGAAATTAAATCGCGTTTATGTTAATTTTTTACTTGCAATATTATTGTTAATGTTAATGGGAAAAATGAGGGTTCGTTCTGTTGTCGACAAGATACTCCACTTAAGTTAATAACCGTGCTTTGTTCGCGCTCTAGTACCTTCAGGATTAGACGTACTTACAAATGAGAAATAATATTTTTATTCCACCGAATTATTATGCAATAATCGTTTTACAATATTTTGAAATCAACTAAAGAAAATAAACAATAAGATAAGCTTTTATCAGTATTAATCGCAACGCAACGTTCACGGTTCATAAAAGAAGAATCAAGCAGCTTCGTTCGTAGCTTTCCGACATCGGATTACATTTTAATCTAATACTTTCATCCGGATAAGACGGCGCAAAATCCTTCGGTATCATAACCGAAGAAACCCAGCGGCAAATTCGAGCAGATTATCGACTCCCTGGGAAGTTTAACCTAACTTGAAACGTTCCCTCTACTTCCTCGTAATTCATCAAGATCGTCCAAGGATCTTGCGTTTGGTGTCTGACATTCGTCACTTTTCTCCGTCGCTAGTTGACCCAATTCCGTTTACGCGAACTTACACAGTTCGTGCAAATAGTTCGGCCAGGATGGCAATTGAACTACCGCAAAACTTATCGGACCCCCTTCCTCGGTTATAAATTAATTCCCACGCCGTAGGAGAAGCAAACTGTTAGTTTCCGTGAAATTTCCTTCGAGTATGTTCAGCAAACAGAACGTTATTTGCGAACGCAAACGAATATGTTTAGCTTTATGATAGTATAACAACGGTGTAACTGTGTATTCAGAATTCGAAAGGGACGATTTGTTTCTCTTAGGAGTTAAACGATCGGTCCACTGAATTATTGGACATTCATACTGGTATTATTGTTACACGAAGAAAGTTGTAACATTTCTGACAGACAAATCGCTATTCAACAATACTTGACAAAAATATTACAAATTGCAAATTTAAAGCTTGGTAAAGAGTAAAAAATTGCAAGCTTATGATTTTAATTGTTTGTGTTTGCCACTCATCGTCAGAGTTCTAGTACCCAGAAATTAAAAGGAATGATCTAATTTCATTTTTCCAAACTGCATACAAGTTTTTTGCTTGTTTAAAACCTTTGTTATTGTTCTACTTTCCTTCATTGCGGGAGAAAAGATTTTTTAAAAGGATATTTAGTACCATGAAAAGCATTATGAGAGCTTTTTCATGTAGAAAGGTACACGGGAAACATTCAGACCGGTCTCGTTTACGTTTTAATGCATATTCCGAGAAGCTTAATGAGATGTTACGCTATAAAAAAAGTAATAATCGTAAATGGAAGCAGTTATTAACTTACCAACTAATGAAGAAAAAGAAGTAAAAATATGTCGATATTTGAAAATTGTACGAAATTTTCGTAATAAAATTTTTGTTTTTTTTTTTTTTTTTGAATAAAAATAGAATCTGAATGTTACCTAAATTTCATATCAGAAAAAAACTTCGCCAAAGAAACGGACAGGAGATCACCGGAAAGAGAAAGAATTACGACTGAAACGGACGACAGATCCAGGACAAAATCGATAAGCATCCTGCGACCATGAATCAGCGTAGACGTGTTTAGACCGCCTGTGGGGTTTGGCAAAGGATCCGCAGGATAATCTCGACGAAACCACGACAGGATATAGATGCTACTAGATGGTAGAGCGTGTAGAAGAAAAGGAAAGTAAAACAAAGATATCGGATATATTTTTTGTCGTAAAATAAATGCCGGATACAAGAACGAAAGGGAAGGAGTAAGGAAAAAAAAATGAAAGGTAAAGTTGAAGATTACTAGTTAATCCTTGAATGGAAGGGATGCATTTTAAAGGAGATAAACTCATCGTGACTTTGGTAGAGAAAGATTTCCTTTTACTCGAACCTCGTTTTATCATCCGTCGTTTCAACTTTTTTCTTCTTCTTCTTCTTTTGCGAGTTTTCTCGCATTCTTCATGCTTACTCCTGGCTCGACCTGGTTTCGCGCACTTGCGAAACGTCTACCTGAAAACGGTGTCCTTCGTGGATATCAAAATTGGAGAAATATCCTTCCGGGTTTAGATATGGAAGCAATAAATCATACAGTTGAAACATTTGGCAAATTTCGAGGAGAAATGAACAAGTTTTTCTTTTCTACAGGGATTTTAAGTTTCTTCGAATGTTCTTTCGGAGAAGTGTTAGAAACTTTCAGATTGGGATGAAGTGATTGTAAGTTGGCTGAAAATGGATCCTAAAGTATTATTTGGTAAGGAGAATGAAAAAATACCTTTGTCACTGTATCAGCAGCGCACGTAAAAATTTTATCAAAGAAATTTTCTACGTTATCGAAAAGCTACGCATGGTTAAACCGAACAATATCAAGCGTATATTTACGCAAACTAGCAGAAACAAACTCTTTTTTCACCTCGACTGGTCACTGCTCGACCACGAAGAAAGAATCTCGATTTAGGGGCAACTAAAATAGGGAGGAAAGGCTGGGAAAGGGAAGCAAAAGGGTGGTTGCTTCGGTCGTGAATCGAAGGATTTGCAAGGAAACCGCACGCGAACCGGTGTTCCGTGAAATCCTCGAATATTTTTCCATTAACGAAACCGGTTGTTTCGTAAAAATCCTATGCCCGACAACAGCCCCGGTACACGTACGCGGTTCAAACCGCGTTCCTCCTGATCCCCGCATGGAACCAGACCGATAAAAACTCCGTCGAAAGAACGTTCAGTCCGCTGGAATGCCGGGAATCCTGTATTATCCAGTGATCGAGCGAGCCAAGTGAAAAGTTGCCGTGAAAAAACATTTTCCAGTTAGTATTCACGAGCTGCTGGGCTACCTCTGGTACAGGCCATTTCAAGAATTTATGCTCAACTCAAAAATATAGGGGTCATTGCACGTAGTAAGGTGTTTTCAACAATTCCAACCCCATATTTTCGGCTATTCTCACACACATCTATTATTTTTCACTATAACCTTATTCGTAATATCAAATGTTTCTAATTAGAGTAATCAAAGAATTAGAAAAAAAAAATCTCACTTCAGAATGTATGGCTGCTCGTATTCAACCTTTATTCACTGACCATTTGATGATGAACGACAACAGTAACCCTTAATAACGAAAGGGTTAAATGACGTGATTTACCAAACACCTTTTCCTCCACTACTCGAGATTTCATTCGATATTTTCACGTACCAGACCTCCGCAGAGATAAACTTCGTATTGGAAATGGTCCAGAAGATGCTGGATAAAAGATTGCATCTGAATCGTCGATGCTCTTAACGTGAACAATTGCGTACTGTCAATATTTAGTGGCCTAGTGAAGTATTATAAATTCAAATTAATCAAAGGATTCTTCATTGTTATATGGAAAAATTATTCAGCAGCCAGGTGGAAAAAATAGGGGATGAATTGAATTGCAAAGTACAGTAAATCTGCCAGAAAGCTAAATCATGGAACGATTGCAAAAAATGATAACCAACGAATTTTTAATTCTGGAAAGTTATTGAAAAGTAGCGAAATGGTTCACTGGTTAAATATAATTACAGACATTTTATTTGAAATTTTAAAAATGAAGTACACGTACATTACAGTTAATTAATATAATGTAGGTAATCCTTTGCATTCTTTTGAAATTATTAATACTGTTAATAATTTAATCATGAACGTTATAAAATGAACTGTCAGAAATAAAAGTGAAATATGGCTCTTAAAAATTTTAAAGTTAAATGATTAAATTTGAATTGATAATTGTATTCTGTGTATTCAGAGACATTTCACATCCGACAGCTATTCTTTTAATTAAAGAGTTTCATTATAATTTTAAGAGATATTCCCATCACTGGGGGTTATAAAATCCAGTAAACGAACTAACAATGAAACGAATGCAACGCAAATAAATCAGATTTCTCTAAATATATTTCACTCGCTACCCTTGCTCTAAATTCCTCCCTCCAGACTTTCTCTCGCTAAAAGCTTTCGCTCTAGATCTATACTCGTTCTTAAGAATTCTCACTTCCGTACACATTCGAATTCATACGCTCAGCTATCTCTCAAATTCTAAACGTATAAAATTTAATGTTACACCTTATCGAAACAAGTCATCTCCATAAAAAAAAAAAATATTTTTGAAGAAAATTAATATTTAGAAGACTTCGATGTATGGTCACTGTAATTACTCTTTGCATTTAATGTGAAATTCAGTTACCGTCCTAACGCTTTTCAATTACGGTGTATAAACTGCAGCCTGATGTGTCGTAATGAAATTTCAGAACCGTCCGTCCAGATAGTGGACGCCCTGGGTGAACCACTGAGGGACAAATACTACGAAGCAGACAGCACCATCGAGTTACTGTGTGTCGTGCGTGACATAGCCATGCAAGTGCAGTACAGCGTCGTCCAGTGGCTTCACGGCAACAGAGTTCTGAACTATGACACGACGCGAGGTGGTATCAGGTGAATCAAACATTTAAACATTATTAAATTCAATATATAGAACCTTAGAATTCTAGAATAATAAGGGAGGTAAGCCCACCCTGATCCATAGCTAATTACGCCAATGTTTCTAATTTCATTAGAAATTTTATATTGCCACCTTGTTCGATCTTTGAATTGACCATTCTTCCTGAAAACTCACCGCATCGACCCATACGGATTTCCTAAACTGAACAAACATTACGAAACAACAATATTTCCTCGGTTGTTACATTTCATGCAATGTCTGATTGCGGCCTAAAGCCAGTCTTTGCACCACTTGCTATTCTCCGGATGCGACTGATCGTGCTGGGTCTTCGTGGCTCGTAAATCATGCACGATATATCCCAGCTCAGCAAGGACCGATCCTTCGGGCTGTGGCGGTGCTTGTATCAACGGAAACGGAATCATGTCACGCTCGTTACGCCGAAGTTATAATCCAGTGTCAACAATTCTGGTTGCCTTTCCACCCCCGGTTGCCTGCACCTTGATCCCAGCTTCGTGTGTAAACTCTGACAGCCTTGAAAACACGCCTGATCACCGAGACGCCGGGAAACAGGGGGTGAAAGAGGGTTGTTGCGTCGCGAAAACGTTGTCGATGGGGCTCGAATAAACATGGAAAGTAAAGTTGGATAGTACAAACGTGGTTTCCGGGAAGTGGAATTAATTTGTACCACGTGTACAATATTATTTTGTAAAAAAAAAATTAATTTGTTTGAATCGATTAATATTATTGAATTCTATTTTTAACGTTGTTATTGCGAAAGAAAACAGAGATTTACACAAAGTAATACATAGAGATCAAATTATACACAGGATTTTCCTGTTCAAAGAAAAACAGCAGTTTCCTCCGCGTGCAGAGTGCAAGTTATCAATCTTAATTCGTCAGCTGACTGGACTTAATCTGACATAATCTTCATGTTACGGTGAACGTATTACTTACGCGAACACATTAATTAATTTCACGTTCGTTCTTTTGCTCAATAGAGAAACGTGATCCATCAATCCGTCACAGTATATACAACGCTGAAACCAAAGCTTGGAAAGTCATGTTGTATTATCTAACGATGCTTTGTCCTATGCTTTATTGTACATACATACATACATATACCGTGTACCTATGCGTGCCTTGATGTGTGTATTTAATAGGATCAATTGAAATTTAGATCACCGAAATGATATATGATCAAGAATATTCAACGTTTCTCTCTTAATCTTCTTTTTTTTAATTTTTGTCTATTCAAGTCTAACGAAGAACATCTCATTCCTCGTTATCGGTCCATTTCACTTGAAACGTAAGACGAAGGAATGGTGTTTAATTGAAAAACTTTCCACCACTGCAATTTGTTCGATATCCCCGGTTGAGGACGATGGCTCGTTGATCCACGGTGTTAAGTAACCCCTGGTTTCTTTCAGTTTCGCCTTAATGCACCGGCAGCTGCTGCATTTCTCTGTAATCGTTGTTATTTGTCTTTGTTCGAACGTTTCCTTTTTCCTCTTTGCTAATTGCATCGGGAGTAGAGGAATGCGTTTCTTGCCGAGGTAATGGGATTAACACTCTGCCGGAGAGTTGTAAATTTGTCCACCAAACAGTTCTATAATTTCAATGACATGAAAAATGTTTTCCGCCAGTAGCACGAATAATAAACGTGATTGAATCATCTCGTTTTAGTAATAAGTAGGTACGAATGATTTAATTGCTCGAGCTATTATTTCAATCTGCAATTTGGTTGACATATTTAAATAATTTTGTATTATTACTGGTGATTTAACTGGCCTGGTTAGTTCAGTCCAGATTAACCTGTAACTATCAAGAGTTAAATCATTCGAATCGGATGATTCATCAAAGAATTACACACTGTCTGCCCCAAAGAAGAGAACGATAGAGAAAATAACTTTCCCAGAGACCTAATGCCAACAATTAATAACAATAAGGAAGCGAAACGAGGGATATTATCCAGTGGCAAAAACATTCCTCTCTTTTTTCTGAACGTCACGAAACGTAATTGCAAAAAGTTCTTCGTAATCCCTATCACTTTTTCAAGCCTGCGAGCTCAAAAATGGTTGAGCTGGTCATTTCGTCTGTTCTGTGATTCAGAATAGCGACGTGTATTAAACGAACGACGAGGAGAAGCAAAGCTAGAAAGGAGGAAATATAAAATCTGCAGGATGATATCTAAAAAATCGGGCTGCTCGTTTGTTACGAGTACGCTGCCGCTCGGTGTTTTTCAGCAGGAAAAGTTCGGAATTGAAATTTCAACACCATGTACGGGTGTTTCAGCGTGAAAACGAACCTAATGGAAGAGGGGGCCAATTCAACACTCAGCATAGCGAGGGTGGGACCAGCTGACAGCGGAAACTACACGTGCCATCTCACTACCATGCCTAATCAACCTGCCACCGTTCACGTGCACGTGCTGAACGGTGAGAATAATTTTTCTTTTTAATTAATTTATTAATTATTTATTTAATTAAAATCTATTCAGTCTTTTCGAATTTATGAAAACTTTTAAAACGACCAAACTTGTCCTTTTATTTGACCAACTGGATAAAGCAGATTTAATCGAATGCAACTCGTATTTTATCGACTTTCAACAGCATTTATGGCGTTGTCCCGGGTCACTCGACAATTTCGTTTCACTCGATGTCGCTTATTTCAACGCTGTTTCACACAATCGTAAAAAGTTCGACGATTGCATGTAAATTAGAAATCGATGCAATATTTATCAGCGGTTCGACCAGGAATTTATATACAAATTCATGTTTGTTAATGTTTCCCCGTTTCTTCTTTATGCGATCTGTATACGTATCTTTCTATTTGTTGCGAATCGTACGATTTGATAAAATTTTACAATTTATCTCTGAGGTAGCTTTTACTAATGCAAAAAAGTCACGAGAAACGATAGGCAACGATCTTTATAACGCTGTTAGAACAAGAAGCACTTGCTCAACGTTAAATATCATGTAATATTTATGCATACTGCGGTTAATTACAGGTTTTCGTGACGAGAAAAGTAAAGGAAGTATCAGAGAACGTAGCTTTCATGATATGGCTGCAAAATTATAACAATCTTAAGTACAATGCACAACGAAGCGTGATAAGATAAAAAGAAGTTATCGCGACGAGTACAGTGTTTTTCACTGTAAATGTAAAAAGTTCTGGGCATGCAGTAAATGAAATGTTCATTTACCTGAAGAGTACTCCATATTTGAGGCACTAATTATTAGAATCATTAGCCAATGGGTCCCACACATTGCAGGACACCTTGTCCATATACCTAATATGGTAACACAGTCGAAACGATTCGTTAGCTTGCAGTGTTTGAGTGTACGTACCGGTGTTTCAGGAGAAAGCTTAGCCGAGCTGCATCACGGCTCGACGGATGGCGTCGGGACGAACAGCGTCGCCAGGTCGTTGCTCCTACTTCTATCCATACTTCTTGGTCGGATGCAACAGATGCTCAGATGAAGGCCCGTTATCTCCCGGACAATTGCGAAATAAGCATCGTGCCGCTCACGTCGCGACGACGGACATCGTCGCGACGCTGCGACACAATACGGACTTTTATATTATCGCTGGAAAAACGGACGTAATGGTGTGGATGTGTAAACACCGAAAAACAAGCGTGAGAGTGAGAATGAGTGAATAGATGGAGGTTGAAGGAAGAAGACAGAAAAAAGAGGATTGAAACGTTGTAGGAGGGTGGATCGAAGGGAGGGGAGAGGTTGGCAGCACTGATCCTGCATTGTTCTTGGTTTCTGATTGAAAACGACTCTTTCCGCCTCGCTATACACGCCGGTTTCCGCTTCAATGGTGAATTCTCGTGTTAGTCGACTTCGTACCCTTATTCTAAGAATCTTTCATCAAGAACACGAGAATTTTTAGCAATAAATAATGATTATCTTGTTTAACGATTGAAGAGAATTTTTGAATGGCACTGAAATTGAATTATTTCTTCAAGATAACAAATGAAAAGCTTCATTTATGAAATAGAACGATTGTATCTTGGATAATTACTATATGTCTGATTAGACGTTGATCTTTTCTACTGTGACAGTCAAGATACTAAATTCTGATGAGTTAACTCTTCTCTGATTAACAACTGTACCACATATGGCCATATAAATTGTTTGAAATGAAATTTACTTTGCTGACCATTTTTACTACGGTAAAGTAACAGCATTCAGTGGACTTAGGCTGTCAAACTGACGTTTATTCGAAGAAGAGAAGTATGTATATTTGATTCGAAGCAATTGCAAATGGAAATTTATGTGATACAGATCAAATGTTTGTAAAGTATGTAAAGGATGTAGTGTGAAAGATCAAATTATCAACTGCCAACCTGATCCCAAACTCATCACTTTTGTTAGTGATACAAAAGCAAAGTTTTAAGCGGTGGCGTTTTACATAAAGCCATTTTCGTTCGACGTTTGTTGATCTGTTATTCGAGTGATCGAAAATTTGAATGATTCACGAGAAATCGAACATCTGTACGAAGGCAGATCGCCCAGTAATACTTGGATTCAACATAAATTCAAAGTTCTCTCCGATGGTGAGATTTATGAAATATATGGTATGCGTTTTACAACACTTTGTTCCCTTTCTTTACCTTCCATTACCTTTTTCATGATTGTAGTACTTATTTATTTTCAGATATAATTGAAGGTGTAGACTGTGAGATGTAGATTTGATTTAAACGGGCTGAGCTAAGGGACACAGGTAAGTGACAGAAATTTAAGTTAAATTATCTATAAATTTTCTGGATGATATCAAAATATATAAAATTAAAAAATTTCAAAGCCGTTCAAAGCTCAGGTAACAAGCATATTGTCTTCGACTGAAATTTCAAGTCCAAAGTTCAACTTTTTCATAAAAATACAAGTACCATGGATATAAATAGTCTGAAATAATAATAGCTAGACATGAAATGATGATTGCCAGAGTTTCCGAGTCTCAACGGATGAAGGAGGGTCGAATATTTAACCCCTGTTTCCGGCCATTTTCACACAAATGTGTTGCTCTCCCGAGAAGTTGTATGATAAATGACTATTGGTTTTCGTTGTCTAGTTGCTCCTATTTGTAGCCATTTGTATCCGCGGGTAGTACACGGTACACATCTTTTTCAATTTTAAACTAAATTTTGAAAGAATTGAAAATTCCTGTCGAAGACATTTATTTATTGGCTTTAGATTGTACACCTATCATCCGGGCTAAGAATCATTCGAGGGACATTTTCTTCGACAAATTTTCTCATCTCCGCAGTCGCATTGAAAACCAACAACGCTTAATCTTGAAATTTCCGGTCCGCAAACAAGATAACATAGGTGCACCATCGAGGTCTTAGGAAAAATATTCCCCGTCCTGGCAGGTTCTCGGTTTTAGAGAAGATCGCTCGTAATCGTGTACTAGCTCGCAGGAATTCGTCATCCTGGAGTTACTCGCACTCAGGACGAGATTGCCTCTTTCCCATCGGAAACGTCCACTTCTCCTGGCTGGCTGGACAAACTGGACCCCGCAACGAACGACTTGCAGGGAGTGTTCAACCAGCCGGAGATTGAAGTTCCAAAAGGACACCGCGCAAACTACCCGCTGCGAGCTTGCTCTCATTTCTCGTTCTACATAAGGGAAGTCCCATAGAGCGTAACTCGACGATCCGACAGATTGGACGTCGCTTCATCGATCCTCCTTCATTCTCAACCGTAGAATCTCCGGCAACTCTATTCGCCCTAGAACAGACAACATTTACCAGTCAGATATCTCTCTCTGCAAACTTCTACCCCTCTTTCACCGTACGATTCAGATGACGTTCGAAAGTTTGTTAATAGCATCCATTTGGAAAATCATAAGTGGACTCGTGCATTAATCTCGATTAATTTGTCTGAAGCGAAGGTTTATTTTATAGGAATCTTCGTCTGGATAATATTATATTAACCTCCACATAACGAATCACAGGGTTGGTAGAACTATTTGAGTTGCTGTTTGACGTTTAGTTGATTTCAGTTAGTGAATAACCCGGGGCAAAGCAAGGGATCCAACTAGGCCTCGGGCGATCGCGTGCCCGTCGATCTTTTCCATGTTCACCGGGTTTCATGCACCGTAAAATCGATTGTAAGTGAACCGCCGCATGAACAGACAGGAAGGCTGATTAGACAGCCTCTTAAAGTAATTCCTCGAAGAAGCTTGCGCGATTTAGGTCAACTTCTGAAACCTTTCAACAAGGCGACGCTTCCTAGAAACGCATTTTTATTTTACTTCAGTCAGTGACTTAAGATGCAAAAAGGGTAGACATGCTTTTTTCCAGACACGCCCAGGTCTCCCCCTGGGACTCCCAATATCGTGACCCCTTAGCTTCAGTCTAACAAAAGATATATGTATTAAAAATGCGACAAGATTGTTTCACTTAAAATTGTTCCAGGAAATTGTGGAGCTTGGGGCAAAAATCGAGATTATTGAAAATATTTAATTAGAAACAGATGCCCTTAAAATCGTGTTCATAATATTTTGAAAATGATTAAGTGTTTCGCCCGGAAAAAGTGCTAGGGGCGATCCTGGTTTTATTTAAAATTGGGTCTGCACTATTTTATTTTAATTTTAATTAAGGAATTTTAAAACTTCACGGAACAGTTTTATTCGTGGAATTAAGCAAAGCAGAAAACGATGACAAGAACGAGGAGGAAAGTTCTCGAGCAAAATGTTCCTTCGTTGAAAGACAAGCAGAAAGAAAATGACAAGGAACATTTTTCTCCGTACTCTGTTGCGCTTTCAACAGATGCATTTCTTATCTTTATCCCTGTTTTATCTTCAGAAACGATATAACCGGAACGGTACTACCTCGTGAACGAAATTTTAAGCGAATCAAGACTGGAAAAATTGGAAAAGAAGTTGAATGGAACGCAATTTATAGAAATCAGTAAATGCTATAGAAGCAATAACGTCGCCCAGATTTATCTTAGATTCGACGAATTTATGTTTTCTTCGATCGTTGTCCGTTTTTGTATTCTCCCAAAAATCCTCTTATATCATACTGAATTTTCATTTAAAAAACTCTTTCCTTATTATTTATAAAAGTTTATAAATTTCATCTTACATATTTACAATTACAGCAGAGCATGTTAATCATTGCAGTGAAATAATAAATGCGGTGCAACCTACGAACTATTCACAAACACAGATAAAAACATAAATATCAATCCCAAGGGGTGCAAACTGGTAAAACAGAAGAAACACGAATGAGAAAAAAAAAGAAAATAGAAGAATCCACGTTATCGGATAAAATTCTCGTTTGTTCACGTTTAAACGTTCTCGCGTTGGATACACCTTTCAAGGTGCAAGGTAGAATATTTTTCTTCGTATTCCACGCTTTCCAGCAAGCGCGCACCCCTTATCTTTATCCCGCATTTACCTTCATAGGCGACGTTTTTCAATCGCCTTCTTCTTTTCCACCGCTCCTCTTTTTTTCCACCCTTCCGAAAGGCAGACCTCGCTGAAATTAAAATAAAAAATGAATTAAGCGAAACTGGTGAACAATAGCGTCCTACCAGCATAAAGAGTCATTTGAATGCCTTAAATGAATAATATGGAGGAAATTGAAACTTGCAGCTATTATGAAAATTCTAACAAAGGTGATTTCGTATGTATTTTAAAACTCATAATTCATCATTTTTGATGATAATGAATTTTTAAGTAAAATTGGAATCAAGTATCAGATGTATTAATTAAAAATTTTGCAATTACCTAATAATAATATAAATAACCCGGATGTGGTGAAAATTCGAAATGAAAATTTTCCAATTCACGTGTAACAATTTATCTTTCTATTTAATGCTCAGTTTGATTAGTTACCAAGTATTGTTAATTATCATTATGTTGGCTGAATGGATTCATTTCTGGTGTCGTTGGTGCAGGTCTTGAATGTGGAAACTCAAGGGTGAAACGAAATCGCAACGATTTATAACGTCGTCGCGTTATCTCGCACGGTCCAGCTCGCTCGCGAGTGGTTCAACGCCGATATAACGCTCGTCTTTCCGCATCCGGGACACCAACCAGCCGGAAACGATTCCGTCTGCTCGCATATTCGCGCATCTACAATAGCCTCGGTTACAAGCATACTTCTGCTGAGAAGTTTCATACCAACTAATTTGTTGTTGCGTTACCGAGCAAGTGTAGCAAAGTTTGATAACACAGGTGAAAGGGAAGAAAATTAACCCTTCTATAGATCATAAGAGAGAATAACAGCAAGGCTTTATATGATGGATCAATATTCAATTATTAAAACACTAGTGGCAAAATATTTGGGTGAATTTTGAGAAGTAATGAGAATCCGATATCGTCTATGAATTATCTGAAAATCTAATCCGAACACAATAAAGCATTATAATTTTGATGGAAAAACTTCGTTAACGTCGACGAACCATTAGCCATGAATTTTCAACGTAGCCCGGTGTTCGAGTGGCGCGGACGACGGGAGAAAAGCAAAAACGTACCGAGGGAACAGAGAAACATGGTACGTGAGCTGCGTATGAAATATTGTGTTATTTCTAAGCTGCCTTAACTCGCGTTTCGTTCTACCGGATGCGTGTCACGTATCGCGGAATAAGAAGAAATAGAGATCACATTCGGCACAGCCGAGGCTGCCAAATAAAGTTTTCCCTCCTTGGAAAGTAACGAAATAGGGTGTCGTGTCGCGATTTGAATGGCAAGCTCGTTAATCGATCGGTTGATCGATCATACGTAAATGCACGCGGACAAGCGATGAATTTCAGCCCTCTTGCGCGATGAGACAGTGAAAAAGATTTACACGCACCAGGATGGCTCGGTAAATGATGAACGGCGACCCAATATTCGATGCAATATTTCGCCTTTGCTTCTGTCCACGGGTCAAATAAATGACCAAACGATGACTCTCTGAGTGATATAATGTCGCCAGGGGGGTGGAAATGCTATGGGAGGAATAGGAGGTGCGAAAAAGTAAATCATCAGAGAGTGAACAGTTGAAAGGGTGAAATAGTCAGGGTAGGCTGAAAAAAATTAATATGAACAACTAATTTCAGAATTAATTTTTTTTAATTTTCTGTGAAAAGCATCGAAACGTTGCGGTTGATTCAGCAAAATTTACAAACACAAACTGGCATCTTATAGCATTGTCGGTGGAGTTTATGAACGAAACAAGACGTGAAATACGACATCGTTTGCAGAACAATCTAATTTCCGTCCGTTGTGCAGTTCGGTGCTAAAGACAACAACATGCTCGATTCGAGATTGGCGACTTGGCGATTGGACCAGACGAACAGAATAGTTCGAACATAGGGACCAAGTTAAATTGGATGGACTCGTATCGAGGCTGGAAAACGTTTTGAGGTTGTGACCGATGCTAGCGAATCGACAAAGTTTATTAGAATCATTACACCCTGTCGTTTGTCTATCTATTGTACATAGCTACGAATCGCAAGAAACTTTCTTAAACGAAGTATGACCATTTTTCATGAATTGTAGATTTTTATTTTATAATGTCAGCTTAGATTATGTAAAATTCCAGAAGAATTGCATATGAAAATTCGGAATGCAACGAAACCGCAGCGTTGACGCTGAAA